GACGTAACAAGAAACCCATGCCATACACCAAATAAACTTAAAATTATGATTGAGAATTGCACTTGACAAAAAAAAAACACAATATATATTTTTTTTCAAGCAATCACTGAAGCATGAAAATGAGTTCAAGGACAATGGACAGTAAGATTTGACGCATCCAGGTCTTCTACCGATTAAAATATAAAGCTTTAGCCGTGGCGGATTTAGGGGGAGGGTCACAAGAGCGGGTCCCCTCTTAGTATCATCTATAATACTAAAATAACGAGGTCCAATCTGTTAGCCATCATGGGGTAAAAATGACAAATCAAAGAATTCAACTTTATATATAGCTAACATAGGACAATGGTGTTGATTAAAAGTTACACCATTCCAGACCCTTTTGTTTTCCATATAATTAATATTGCCAATAATTAACAAGTTCCGGGTCGAATCCGATACCGATACCAAAAGTATATGTTCACCTGTTACCTATTCCCTTATCTGTACGTTCCGCATCTGACAGGCGCACCACCAAACGGTGTATTTAGGATTTGCTATATACACGGGTCATAATCACAGGCTTGACACTACTAAATTCAATCATTGTCACATTGTTTCATTTTGTAGTATTTTAATCAGCATGACTTTATAAGATGACAATACGATTACTAAAACCCTAGACTTAAAATAAGGCGTATAGGTACAAAGAATTCATCTTTATTTAAAACTAATATAGGATGAAAATATGGTATTTTATACTGCCAAAATCTGCTATGAAATTTTAATAAAGCGAAAATGTATTTTATACTCATGATAGTTGACTTGTATTTGTATTATAATTTAAGAAAAATTGTTTTATAGTCCCTCATAACTCTTTATAGAGTGGCTCTTGTTGTTAACTTGTGTTTTAAAAAGCTGTATATTTTATATGTATCAAGTGGTGAGACTTTAATAAAGTATTTGTCTTGTCTATAGGACAAGGCTGTTGATTAAAAAATAAACCATTCCAGACCAATTTGTTTTCAAAATAATTAATATTACCAATAATTAATAATTTCCAGGACGACGGGTTCAAACAGAAAGATTTTGAAAGTAGAGAAAACTGTGCATCTTATAATCAGCATGACTTTATCAGATGACAATACCAATACTAAAAATCCAGGCTTAAATAAGGCTTAGCTATATATACTTTAATTCAGTCACGGACCCGCGATATCACGAGTGTGTTCTAGTTTTTGTAAAAGTAAACCATGTAAACAGACAATTTAAGATCAACATTTAAGGACAATATTAACTCCATTCCATTGTTGTTGAACATCTTATCTTGTCGATCATTTTTGCTTATCAATATCGCGGGTGTGTTCTAGTATAATATTATAAAAATCACCTCGGATGTAAAAAAAAAATGCGCATACAAAATGAATAACAAAAATACGGCGTATTTTATTCAATGAAGCTTTAATGATCTTGAAGGTATAGTAAAGTACCGGGACCCTCTCTATGGGATTTTTGTCGTCTTTGAATAGCAGGATCCATTCACAAATACGTAAATATCAACCATGAAATGTTTCCGGGGAAATAGTTTTGAAAAAAATGCGTTTCTAATACTAGTTTACGGGTCAACTTAATTGTATGCATATACAAATAAATACCAGGAAGGTCTTGTGGTCATTTTAGCGGTATAGGTCGTATAGGTTACTTTTGCATATATGTTTCTGATATCAAAATTGCAATTTTAACCATTCGTACACATCGACAAAAAAAATCATTAAGTTACTTTTGAGGGCATATCTATATCAAAAGATCGGGATTTGATAACGATAGTTTACTATAATCAATTCTAGGGGTCACATAATGATTTTCGACATCTTTTTTTTACTCATTACGCACTGTTTAAAGAATGCTGTTTTATAAAAATAGGGAGATGTGGTCTGAGTGCAAATGAAAAAACTATCCTACAAACTTCAAAAGTTATCGATGTTTTAATTATTAATTATTCAAAATATGTATTTCTTTTAAGTATAAAATCTTAATGTCGATCCGACTGCTAGCAGCCTAATATATATCTCTAGATAGATATTGCTCATTAAATAAGGAATAATTAACCTGTCCATTAATCTGTACACCATATTTTCAAAAACTCTTCGTTCGCACAATTTTCGTTTTGAAAATTGGGATGATTTAACGATACTATAATTTAACATTTTACACTATTCGGGTACTTGCTTATGCTTACTGTGACGTCACTTTAAGCACCCTGTTTGATGACGTCACATACAAAACGTTAGATGTTCAAAATAAAATGACATTGTTGTTTATTTAACTACAGTTGTGTTTAATGTTGTTTTTAACATGTAAATATTTATACAAAGAATAAAAGTACAATACTCGATCAAAACGGTTAGAAGTGTAATCATAGAATATATTGTCTACTGCTTTACGTCTGTTGCTTCAAAGGTTACATTTCATATGAAAATAAAATAAAGCCACATCAAAATGTGTACGCCGTTATTTATTTCGGCAATTCAGAATTCGATGCAGAAACAATATGGTATTGTGAATTATATTGGATATATTATATGTGTGTAAGCATGAACACTATAAACTTACCAATTGCAGCTGTAGAATTAATATCAAAGATGGGTCTGGTTTTAAACTTTGAAGCATCATGATGGACTTTTCCTGATTTGATAGCATTCATACTTCCACATTCGCAAAGAATATACATAAAAAAGCCTAAACCACAATTTTCTTAGACACTATGTCTGTAATATGCAAGTTACTCCCACAGTCGGTGCATCCTGCTTTCAGATCTTTTGAAACATGGGATTGCTCAAATATCCGTCTTTCTCCTGGTAGCCAGATAGACTGATATGTGTCCGTAGCCTCTGTGTTTTTCGTATGATCGGCAACATTTCTATCGGAAACGAGTTCAGATAACTGTACACGTCTGTCTTTCTCCTGTTGTCGTACAAAGCGACCCTTAAATCGAGCCATCATGGCCGCTATAGCATATAGTTTATCGGCGCCGACGTCTTTTAAAACGTTTCGCGGAAAAATTGACGCACGTCATAGAAAAAAAACGGAACAATGGCGTCGCAAGGCAGAATGCGCAGAAACAATAGCGGGATTTGTCTTTAAGTTGCGGATACTATGATCCTTGAAATTCCTTGTAATCCACTAATCAAGTAGAATAATATTTTCTTTTGTTATTTGAGTTGTTAAACTTTAATTATATTAAAGAACAATTTCTTAAATCATCTAAAAATTGATGCTCCCTTAAAAAGCTGTATTTTTCCGCCACTAATGTGTTCAAAGATGTGTTAAAATACATTTTTTTGTAAGAAAATGTTCAATATCTCCGAACCTTATTGTCAAAAGTGCATACTTTTATATATCCGACTGATCAACTATTATACTAGTCACTAAATGCATTTTTACCTTTAGTTCTTAGTATCAAAACGTTTTTTTGTTTTTATTTTACAATTCGGGGAAAACAGATTCAAGGGAATCACGTTTTGGACTCCTTATAAAATAATCACAGAGTCTCAAAATCTTGAATGCATTATCATTCGAATTAAAACATTAGAAGAACCGGATAAAATATAGAAATCGTTCACAAGTTTGATTAAAGACAGTCAGATATTTTCACCAAAGAAAGTTACAGTTGCTTATTCAACTAAATTATCATATTTTCATCTGGTGTCGTCATGCAGAATTAGCAGTACATTCCTGGATAATAGATTCCTGACAGATTACTTTTGAGGGTGTCACAGATGACCCTCGTGGCAAGCAACTCTTCGTTTGATCACCAGCCAGAACATACATTTATTACAGTGTATAATCTTACTGGTACAATCAAAATATTATGATGTGAGGTCAAATATTTCCTATTTGCTTAACCGTCTTTAACTTTGTAATACAAACATATGTTATTCAGTGTTGAAATGGTTGAAATAACATATTCTGCACAAAACCAAAAACGAAAATAACACAAAAGCAGACTGTAGTTATGAATTTTTAAGAACTTCATTTATAGACACTATATTGAAGTTAATATATTTCTTTTAAATTCAAATGATGGGTTTTAATATATTTATTTGTAGTTTAAACCTCTTGTACGATTTTTTTAAAGTGTGATCTAAAAAATGTCTATGTATATGTTATAATGCATATAACGTTAGAATATTCTTTGGAATAAGCTTAAACTTGATTATGAATGTGCTTGTTGGTATAAAGGTTTATCCAACAAACTTAAAGACAAGCTTCAGGTCATTCAAACAAAAGTTATAGGGTTTATACTATATCTTCTTCAGAGAAAACGTATCACTGTAATTGAATTTATAAAATTGATATTATTGAATGTTTGTAACAAAGTGACACAACTTCGTCTGAATCAAGAGTTAAATGGGTTTTTTCACGAACTTCCACTAGCGGGAATACTAGAACAACTGACTATAGTTTTACGCTCCAAGTGTAAAAAGTGTGAAATCTTCTTTTTTAATAAATTAAAAACTTGAATAGTCTGCCAGATCAAGTAAAATGAAAACAAAAGTTAAGTTTGAAGTAAAACAACACCTAATGAGTAATCTCATGTCAATGTCAGATGCAGATTTTATATTTTATTAGATTGCTTTTTTAAAAGAATGTTGTAAGCTGTGATTCATAGAGACTTTTTATTGCTATATAATTGAAAGATATTTTTTTATTTTATTATCCACACTATATATATAAGTTCCCCATTGGAAATAAGCTCTGTTGCTTTCATGGATCATCCTTGGGTTAAGGTATTAAATATACCTATAATCACATCTATTACTATATAAGAGGAGCGAAAGATACCAGAGGAACATTATATCTTATCAGGTTTTTTTTAGCTATGTTTCCAAATTTAATTATCCATTTGTTTTTATTGCCTTTACCTGAATAAACATTATTATTATTTAAACTGAGTCATCCTCGTAATATAAAGGATATTATATTAGTATTCTGCTTTACTTTACAGTTTAAATAAATCTTACACGGAAATGTCGTCAGAAAACGATTCTTCTTTCTATTTTCTCCTCTTTCACCCTCTAAATGTGGAAAAGTTGAACCCATTGGTAGCATCTGCAATATTACAAAAACATCATAATTATTTACGATAAAGATCTAAACTGTAATTTTTCCTCTGACTTATCCTAATCTAAGTTCGTCAAAGAAAAGAAAACAAACAAACAAAACCTAAAAAAATTATTAGCTTTGGTTAATTCATACATGTAAAATATCTTTTTACATGATTTTATAGTACACTTTATGTTAATTAAGTATGCTTAAAATATTTTGATTGAAGATACACAGAATCGTTTCATCTGCAATCTGAACAAACACGTTACATTCTAATTAACATTATATATTTGACAGCAATGTCATTTCCAAAAACACTCAAAATCTTACAATGATAATCTAAAGAAATAAAGAAAAATGCACCTATAATTTTAAAATGATTAATTTGTGAAATGATATCCAAAATTGCATGTGGTATTTTTTTTTTTCATTGTAAGTTGTTGAAGATCTCTTAGTTTGCTTGTTGTTACTGATTTGTGTGTCATTTCTTTTACATTTTGTTTGTTGTATATTTCTCGATTTTATATTCTCAACTAGCACAAAGACTATCGGAATCAAACCGGGTACCCTTGTGTCTTGATAAAAAAAAGTTATAGAATATGTTCTCTAGTTGTGAGTCTGCAATTTTTCAGTACTCTACATTTTTTATCTATTCAAAAGTATTATTTTAACGAAGTACTACAACTTACTTTGTATATCGTGTGTCTAAAAACTACCGTTTTTTTGAAGCGAGTTTGAATTTTTATAAGTTCTCATTCAATTTTTTACTGTTCTTATTTGTCATTTTACTTGTTATGTTTATCCATTCGCTTGGCATGTAACTTTTGACTTGTTAAAATAGACCCTTACCTTTGATTGGAGAGGTTGGGAGAAGAGCTTGATAAATATATACATCATCAGCAAAACTAAGAATGACACCTTTAGAGGCTAATTTATTATAAGCATTTTATATTCGTTTTTGAAGTACATTCGGAGGGTAATTCTGAATTGTATAATGTGTGCCTAATCCATCTGTCTTAGAAAATTAAATATGTTGAAACTAACTACCTTTATGGATGGTGTGGGTTTTTTCATCAATAAAGATTTTTGGTTTACTTTATTTTTTACTCGAGGTATTTGTGATTTCGTTTTCATTTAAGATTATTTTTTTTGATTAACTTTGAGTCATTAACTTATTTGTCAGACATTCGACTGTTAGAAGTCAAACTATCTAAGTTGTTGACTATATATATTAATATTTTTAGAATTTGACTTCTCTTTCTAATTTCTTCGCAATTCATAAAATAAACTTCAGATGCGCTTTTCTAACATTGATAAAAGTGTCTTATCAATTATGAATTAATTTATCTTCTTATTACTACGCAGTGATAAGAAGTTTCGCTTTAAACTTCAAACCTAATTCTATTTCAATCATCACCGTTTATTACAGCAAAATTTAATTTAAGAAAGTATCTTTCATTTATATTACTTCTCAAGTATCTACAATATCAGTTATCTTGGTGTAATCAGGGATGTACAGAATTTCGCCCCGGTGTTGAAATTAAAGTTCATACACCCTGAGGCGCAGCCGAAGGGTTTATAAATTTTCAACATGGGGTAAATTTCCGTACACCCCTATTTACATCAAGATAATGAACTTACTTCTTATGATTGATTGTTGGTTGCTTAAATTTCAGTGGCAAATATTTCATGCGTGTTTAGGACGATTTTATTTATTATCAATCGTTCCTTTCCTTATTTATGTTATATAGATACAATGGATAAGCGTGGATTCTTGAAAAAGAAACCATGAGCCCGGAGGGCGAATGGTTTGTTTTTCATGAATCTACGCTTATCCATTGTATCTATAACTTAAACTATTGTGTTAATTTCTTTTCAAAATTAAAGCCTTTTCTTAATTAGAAGGTATTGTAAGTGAGTTTAAATAACCATGTTATCGTGTCCAACGATGCATTGATAAATCTCAGATCACAATTAATTGGTTAACAAAATACAAATATAACACTTCTACCTTTAAAGATCTTTATATTACCAGGCATATGAATATTATCTGTTTATACAAAATAAGACATATTCGAAATTATTTCTAATAAAATTGAAAATGGAAATGGGGAACGTGTCAAAGAGACAACAACCCGACCAAAAAGCATAAATAAAGTATATATAATAAGTATGTTATCGAAACTTTTCTAACACTCTAGGCACATCACGATTTTCTCGCATAGGAATTTGCGAACAAACCTTTGTAAAATTATGTAGTAAAACAGATGAAATCATACTATATTTATAAAACAATAATTGACAAATAGAATGTAATCATTTTTGTTTCAAACATGTGAAATAGCCGATAATAATATATAAAAAAACGGTAAAACTCGCTATTATTACAAAAATATCCGCTATAACATGCAAAATTAGAAAAAAACAAGGATAGCTTAAGAATTGGAACAACAGAGAGAATACAGGGATTCGAACCTAAACCGACAAATCCCGATCCTTAACGCATTGATTTAACCATGCTAACCTCGCGGCTACCAACTCATACTATACGACTGCCTATTGTGTCTATATAAAGATACAAGCCCTGTGTGTCCTATGAACCGATGTATATCAGATGTTCATTAAAATATATGAAATAAACATCTATAGTGTAACCCATTGGTAGCCGAGAGGTTTCGTCGGTGTGTTGATGTCAGTCACACATAACAGATTTCAAGGAAGGGTTCGATTCCCAGTGAAGGCATATAAAAATTACAAAAATTAAAGGTAAGTTTTTAAATTAATTCCATTAGTGAACAGAAATCAGTAAATTAGCCAATTCAAACTTAATGAAATTAGGCACACAAAGGAAACAATTAAATATAATTTGGTGAGTCAATTTCAGCGGCAGATTTAGGAAGCGTTGATTCTAGAAAAAGAATCCACGGTAAATGAATAGGCTGACGTCACCACAATGGTTTAAATACTTGGGAATAAGATTGAAAAATTCTCATGAAGAACTTCCATTACACATTTTTTTTCAACACCGATGTTGCTGCACATTGTACAATATTACCTTTTTTTCAATTTTTGGGAGCTTTGCAAACAAAATCTGTTTTTTGGCCAAAATTTTTCTTTAGGTAGATTTTAGCAAAAAGGAGTAGGTCCGGTAAGGGCCGATTTTGGCCTCAAATTTCAGGTTCATCTGATGAAAGATTTTGGTCACTTTTTAGACACTTAAATGTCTACTTCAGTCGATGATTCAATTAGTTTATGTGACAGATTTGAACTGATTTTATCATTAAAGACGCTCAGATACAAGCTTAAATATGAAAAATCTATCAAATATGCCATAATGTGTCACTTTTCAGATGGTTTTTGTCAAAAATGAAAGTGGCCGCATCCGTGTTCACTCTCAACCTTTATATATGTTATGTATTATCATCAAATACAACTTGCATTTAAATATTAAGAATGAAAATACAAATGCGGCCACTTCCATTTAAGACGGAAACCGTCTAAAACTTAACTCTACTGCTAAAATTGTGAAGATTTCAGTAATTTAGCATGACTCAATGATGCTAGTACCCGATATAAATGCATTGTATTGTCAAAAAGTGTCCATATTTATGTAGCAGAAGTATTCTACTTTCCAATAAATAGCTAAAAGTTTACATTTTAACAATTTTGTAAAACTGCTATATTTTGGGGCAAAAAGGGTCTTACTGGACCTACTCCTTTATTTTTTCTGATATTTTTTTAATTTTTTTTTTTTTTTGAAGAAATTTTGGCAAAATTTTATCCCCAGGTGAACTGGGAGGTGATGTTTTTTATATCCGGGTATTAATTAATCAGATTGCAATATTCGTGATCCATAAGAAATAAATGTATTTACACCCTTGGCCTTCAAATTTTGTAATTTGGGAGTTTTGGATGAAGGTTAATCAAGAAAAGCGTTTCTGACGTACGAAATTTACAAAGTTTTATTTTCGTTTGCTCTATCTAATAATCGCCTTATAAAGTTTGAAATGTATATCACACACACACACTATAATATACTCAGCCACGTACAGAATATTCCTTTTTAAATGCGTTATTTTTTCGTTTTATTTTAGCAATGCTTGGTAAGTTGCCAATGGAAATATTGTATTCTGAAAATATGTTTTTTGTCTCTGTATTTGAATATAAATTTTCAACATCTTTTGACTCTGTATTCGAATAACGATTATCAGGTCTAGGACCATTGGCATACACATTTTCATTCGTTGACACGTTTCTTAACTCAACAGAATCTTCTCGGCAATCATCCAGTCCTTTAAATGACATTTGATTTTCTTTTTCTACATGTGCGTATTGTGGAATTTCAAATGTTTCTTTGGAATATCCTGAAAAAAAAACTGTGTAAAATATATCACAATATTTTAATCATCTAAAGATTGAAGCAAATCAATTCTTTCATCAAAATCAAACAGTGGGAATACAAAATCTATACAAGTAGCTGTACATGGAACTCTAGTATCAATCTGGACGACAAAAAAAAACCAAAAGTCCCATCTGTTCAAAGGTAAATGTCTATATATACGCTTTGGAATAGCCTTTAGTCAAACTGAGATTTAAAGTCTTTTCATCAAACATTTAGCTTGAGATGGAAATGCTAATCATAATAATTTTTATTTCTCATAGTGTTTTTTTTATTTTCATAAAGTAAATTAATGGATTAAACTTCTTGATAAAAATTGTGATATCTAAATAGAAATTTTTGGACAAACGTAAAGACATTCTTCTCTTATTAAAATTTTGTTAAAGAACTACTAATATCGTTCATATTTAACAAACAAAACATCTTCATTCTTTTCATCTTTTTATACTTAATCATGATATTTTTTCACCACTTGGTTTTGATATTACTTTGACATTTTATTAATTAGAATTTATTTTTATATTTAAGTATATAATACGAAAATACCTGGATTACACATTTCTTCTACATCATTTGAAAACTGTTTGCCTCTAATTGGTTTACCAGGCCCATTTGTACGTTTCCTATTGTAAAATATGTAGTGTATGTAATTCTTGTCTAGTGAAGTTTTAGAAGTGAGATCATGTCTAATTGTATCTATTAAAACATTTTATTATTAACCATAGGCCTAGGCTATCCTTTGTTTTAGCTATGCCTAGGGGGAGCCTCTTACCATCTGTTATCAAAAGCTGTGCTATAAGCGTATGACACTTCCATTTATGTGACAGTTGTGACATTATCATTCTTTAAGCAATTTTATTACTTTTTTGTTAATCATACATTTATGTTAAATTTTTCACGTGGATGTCTTTAAACTTATACCAAACTAAAAAAAGTACCTATGTTTCACAATTTTGAAATGACAAACGTGATGATTGCGACAAAGGGAGCTTACTGCAATCTATCAAAACGTTGTATTATAAATCTAAGACATTTCGTCGAAATATATAAAATTTTGGCATAATATTCTGTTTTCAATAAAGGCAACAGTAGTATACCGCTGTTCGAAACTCATAAATCGATGGAGATAAAAACAAATCCGGGTTACAAACTAAAACTGAGGGAAACGCATCAAATATCAGAGGAGAACAACGACACAACAAAAACACAACATTAAAATGTAACACACACAGAAACGAACATACCCGGAAAGACAAATTTGAAAATTCTTGAAATTTATACAAATCTGAATACATTCTTCAATACACCCCAAAGATTGACCGGGTTATAGAAATATGGTAATCCCTGGACTTAAACAATCCGGCAGTAAAACTTTTGTTAAAGTGGGACGCTCCCTGGCAGTGTAGAATATATACATAAACAGCAACGTTCTGTCGGATCGGGGCGTGAAATCCGATGCCTCGTATAAGGGTGAGTGTCACGCATGAGTATGCAGTATGCATGACATATTTGTCACTGGACGTTAACCAAACAACAATTAACTAACCATACTTCAAGTAACATCATTGGAATCAATTTTTAAAAAAGGGTTGGCAAGAGACTCATCACAAAGATATCTTGTACAACATAAGGATGAATATCAAAATCAATATGTGAATGATTAAGAGATTCGGCCATAAAACACTAGCATTCATTTGAGCTTAGAAATTGGAATTGTAGACGGAAGAACATTGCTTTGCATAGTATTATTATTATTATATTTTTTTTTTTACCGATAAATCATCTATACCATTGTTTAAAGTCACTGTTTATTAGACTGTGCTATGCAAAGATAAATTATATCAATAGATAACAACGTCCAAGTAAGATACAAGTTAAATATTTAGAAATAATTATTAAGTGTTGAAGAAAATTGTTGTCGAATTAAAAATATTTTTTGAAAGTCGTCAATTATGATAAAATATGGAAAAAATATACATTCATGCAAGAAATAATTTTTAGCGTTACGTTTGTATTTCAGCTCTCCAATCTAAATGTTATAAAGAGAAATCATGATCCAACAATGTATAAGCAATTCCTTTTTACGTACATACATTTTTTTTTAAAGATTTGGAAGTATATCGAAAATAAAATACACATGTAAATGGTTATAGATATTTGATATTAATCGAAGATACCTGTAAATTAATATTCCAACTAATATAATTGCAAAGACAGCCACAATTGCTCCAATAACTCCTCCAATAATTGTTGACTGTGCCTTGTCGTTCTTTAAAGGGATCGTATCTACAAAGTACATTTAACAAAATCAAAGGTATCGTACAAATATTTTAACAAGAAAGTATATAAAACAAAGACAACTATGCGTATGCTTACTTTACACACTACTAAGTCACAAGTACAAAAAATGTAAAAGCTTTTTAGGGGGAGTTTATAAAAGAGAGGCAAAAGATACGAAAGGGATATTCAAGCTCATAATTTAATTTTCATATCATAACTGACAATGCCATACATAAAACGTTATACTACGAAAAAACACGAGCCCCACCAAAAACCGGGAGAGATCTCAGGTGCTGGAAAAGGTATGCAGATCCTACTTGAAATGTGGCACTCATCGTGTTGCTCATGTAAGTACAAACACGGCGATCAGGCTAATTTGGTATATACCTTTTTCATTCTCTTGTGAAAATGAAGTTTTTTGAGACATTGCTGTTTAAAAACAAACATTAATCCAATAAGGAAAGTACAAACTTCAAGATTGGAGAACAACAGGTCGTATTGTATTAGCAGCACCTTCGTCTTTTATTCGACGAGATTGATGGATGTATTTTTTTGGAAATATCTTAAAGTTGAAGTTTTCTTGTGTGCTGTCTTTGTACAAAAATTTAAGATAGTGTTAAACGTTGACAGGGCTCACACAGGCTAAGTTAAACAAAATAGATGGAAAGAAACTGCGATCATTTGGAAACTCAAAAAATTTATTTCAGGGCAGATCTTCATTTTATACCTCTTTTAAAAAATCAAATAAAAACTACTGGTAATATATGGGACGATAATACTAAGGCTTTTAAATCATGCTATGAATAAACCAACACCTTACAGATAAATGTAACCGTATTTCGGAAAACTGACGAATTAAACATTCCATACCACAAACATTCTTGAACATTTAAAAAAAAAAACACCGATGTCCAACGCACTTTTAAACTCCAGATAGAAAAATCATTAAAATCAAAGCAGAACTGAAACCTTTAAGTGTGAAACAAAATGAGAAAATTTGTAAAGCGAGTACATGAATTGGGAAAAAAATTGGCTTAACCTCAGTAAAATGAATATTAATAGAAAAGTTAAAGAATTTCAATGGAATTGATAGAAACAGTTGTCAGAAATTTACATCTTTGTATTAATAATTAACGAGACACTTGTTGAAAATAAACTTATCATAGATACAAGGATTGAAATTTTGTACGCCAGACTCGCGTTTCGTCTACTAAAGACTCATCAGTGACGCTCGAATCAAACAATTTCAAAAGGCCAAATAAAGTACGAAGTTAAAGAGCATTGAGGACCCAAAATTCCTAATATTTATATATTTATATGCTTGGATATAAAGTATATATGCATAGCGAAAGTTGAACTCTTTATCAAACAAATATAGGAAAAGATATTCTAGTTTTACTGCTCTGAGTTTAAAGGTGTGTTCGATTTCATATGTAATAACCTTAATTTATTATATCTTAGGGTATACTTTGTGAAAAGAATCTAGATATTTTTGGCAGAGAGAAAACTCCTAATATTTTTTATTGTAATCGATATTTAAATTAATGACTGTATTATGTATATTAGTAAATAATCTCATATATCATTCTTCATACTACTTTAGTTCTTACCACACATTCTATATCTTTTTTTTAATCCATACATAGGTATATCCAGATTAAAGATCTAATTTGTATCAATCACATCAATAATTTTCAATTCATATTATCACTCTAATTTGTATAACTAAAGGCTACAGTAGTATACCGCTGCTCAATAGTCATAATTCGATTAAGCAAAAACAAATCCGGGTAACAAACTAAAACCGAGGGAAACACATCAACTATAAGAGGAAAACAACGGAACAACAGAAACACTGAACTACAACAAAAGCAAACGCCAACATATATAGAAAAGGACTGTCTGTTAACAACTGCCATATTCCTGACTTGGTACAGGACATTTTAAGAAAAAATGGTGGGTTGCACCTGGTTTTATGGCTAGCCAAACCTCCCGCTTATATGGCAATGTTAAAAATACCGATAAAATGACAACACTGCGTGACAGGAATACAGTACAAATGAATATCACATATATAATTCAACACATGGTAGTCTGTAAACTGAATATACGATAATGATGCATTATGTATTATGATCTTGCGTATCAGGTAATAACAATTGTGCTGGTCATTTAAATATGTAAATCTATGGGAGTTTAAACTCATTTGTTTTTACCCTGGTTAAGTGAGGCTGTTAAAATGCAGGGGTCCTAAAGTATATAATCTGGGTTCTTTGGTATTTATATATCAGGAATTGCTAGAACAAACATATGTATTTTGATAAAAATAACACTACCAAAAATATCAAAGAAATAATGCATGTTCGAATTATATTTTATTCGGTTTTTATGAATAGTATTTTCTGAAAGCTCACTAAAAGCTCATACAAAACAAGTCTTCTTACGTTTTCATAATTTTCTATGAAGCCAAATTAAAGAAATTTGAAGGACAATTGTTCGAATTGTTCACTTTACAAAAAATAGATCAATTTGATACCTCAAGAAAGGCAATGAATTTGTTATTTGTGAACTAATATTTATTTCAAAAGACAAATATAACATTGATTGTGAAATTTCATTTTTTTAAACTTTTGAATTTTAATATCACACATGTCATACATGTCTTTATTTGAGTAACAAGAATTGTCTACTGGTGATTAATGGATTTTTGCATTGCTCTTTCAAAACATACTATTGAACATTCACCTCCAAGAAGTTTCAAACTTGTAGGTAAACAAAATTGATACAAGACTCCAACTAAAGCAAGGCTTTTTTAACTTCTCTTTACCTCGCAGATGGCATCTATATCCTGTATAATCATTACGACATCCAAATTTTGTACAGTTACCAGAATTTTTTTCACAATCTTCATCCAAACATCCCGTACATGTTTCTGCGCAGTTATACCCAAAATGTCCCGGGGAACATGCTACAATCATTAAAGATAAAAAAAAAAAAGAGGACGAATTCCATACCAAAACATATTTAAATAAAGTACACTTTAAAGTTTTTAAAGTTTTCAGATCGCAATCGTTGTTTGTGAATTTTACAAAGAAATAATTCGAAAATTCGTTCTACTTATTTCCTGTTAAAAAGGAAATACAGTTTATCTTGTGATATAGATAAACAACACCCTTAAATTTACATTATACTTTTGAAGCGACATAAGAATATACATTGTACTTAAAACATGAAATCAGGGTATAACTTACTTCTGTTTTTGAGAATCTCAGCTGCCCTTTTTCTTACCAAAATCGGGTAATATGTACTATATCGTTATGTTAGGGTTAAGTGCTTTTTCTGTACTGATTTTTATTGTATGCTGTATTATGATTGCCAATGAGACAACTATCCACCAGAGACTAAATGACGAAGATGTACGCAAATATAGGTCTCCTTGCGGCCTTCAACAATAACCAATACCAATACCGTAAAGTATACTATATAAGACTCTAACATGACAAAATGAAAAACAATTCAAACGAAAAAACGAACAGCCTGGATGTAAAATGTGTATGTCCATTTTTCGAATTTGGTGGTGCTACCATCTAAAAACTAGTTTAACCAGCCATGTAATCATGTGCCTATCAGGAATCTGTGCTTATCTTGCCGTATCTTCATTTTTTGTTCTGAGAGTTTGGTCTTGAGGGTAGATCTATGAAAGTTTCTGACAGTTTGTTGATAGAATTTTTGACTCGGATTAATCTAGAACTTTACATTTAATAAAGACGGCTGAATATTGTATTGTAAAAATCAGGAGATGTCTTTTGGTTGCCAATGAGACAACTATCCACCATTATCCAAATGTCGTGGACGTATTTGACTATAGACTGTATGTATTTTAAGTTTGTCATTTGAGTCGTTGAATTGCTGTCGGATATTCGTACACGCAACATCAATTTATATTATGTATAGATTACGTATAACTTTATCTATTTATTTTATTTACCAAGAGTTATCTTGTTATTGTCGTCAATCATATACTTCATAATACTAAACGCAAAGAATTCACAAATTTAGCAATTTAAGTTGCTATGGTTGTATGGTTGTTATTGTGATCATATTGTTAAATCTTACTATTTAGTCAAACAGGTATGTGAATCTATTTACTTTCAGTTGCAAAAATGATAAAAAGTATGCTTTTAAAAATAAGAAGATTGGTATTATTGATTATGAGACAGCAATTCACTTACAGACCAAATGACAAGGGTGCAAACAACATAACCACATGTCAACGTAAAATCTCAAACAACATTCAAAACTTTTGTTGACTGTGATACTGATTTCAAACCAAGAAATCGATATCCGAAAAGAGAGAGGAGTTCAATCCTTGCTTTACATTGTTAACTACATTTGGGTTGGTTCATTAAGCATGTTTGCCATGAGTGCGAGAATTCATTGGGTTGATTTTCAGCTGAGCAAAAACCAAAGCCTTCAAATTTATTTATTAACGCTTTTCAGCTTAGCACGTGGAAAATTGGAGAAAATCTAAAGTTCAAGTAAAGTTTTCTATTCTTTTATTACCTATCTTCAAGGTGATTTCTTATTTTATTTAGAAGGCAGTTTAACAAGTTACGACACTTTGAAAGATACTAGTATTTTAAGATTGTATGTTTCCATGCAGAGCTGGAATTGTCCTTTTGAAATAGTGTGATAGTTTTTTTTCCAATACTTTAGTTAGTTATTGTTTATGTAGCAGTCCTTTGTGGACAAATTTGAACTTTTATTTGTTTGATTTCATTTTTTGATTGTAGATAACTTTTAGTCATTGAGTGCATATTTGACAAAATATTGTACATGTTTAAACTTGAAAGGGGACGATTTGGCTTAGGTTATAATTTTTGTACATGAAGTAAACACTATGAGAATATCAGGCTTACGTTGAACACATGAAGAACCCATCCAACCACGATCACATGAATCTGAATCGCATTGACCATTAACATTATTACATAATGTGCCATTTACGCAGTGACACGTTTGCTGACAGTTGTGTCCAAATGAAGGTGATTTACAAGCTGAAAGGAAATAATGGTATTTTATCAAAGACGAATTTAATTGGTATATAACTTAGTTACAAACTTTTCAATAGTAAAATGCTATCGTTATACAAAATTTGATTTATTGATAGATAACTGTTCAATGTCCAGCGGCAGATAATATATGAAATTAGAGCTAAGCTGTTTTTGTTTTCCCCCTGAAATGCTTAATGTGTTTTGAAACTCATGCGGGGAGCAACACTAGTACACGTACTTAGTAGTTATCTATGAAGACGTTTTCGCGGCTTTCAATATTAACATAATATGCAGTAAACATTTTACTTGTGATCATTATCCTGCAGTATTTTCAATCTTTTTATTCTAGCTTAAATAATACACGGGTGCTAGACAAGGCAACACTTAGATGATGACAAATAATACAGCCTTTCGTTTGTTGTTTGTTTGTTTGTCGATGGTTTTTGCGGTAACAGAAATGTTAAGTTTTTGATTTGTCAATTTACTCATTTCTGTTATCTTGTTAATGCATTATTGCATTTTGTTAAGTTTGCATTTGCGAAAGTTGAATATGCATATTATACGTCAAAATTTAAAGGTATTCAGTAAGCTTTATAATTTTCATTCGTTTTCGTTTCTTGTTATATCTGGATACGGGATATGTTTCCGTTAAGTATTTAGACGAATCTTCCTATGTTTTATTTTCTTACTGTTAGAATGATAAAGATTATAAGTAGGAATTTAAATTTTAGCTTATATACCTTCGTTGCATTTTGAACCATGATATCCTGCTTTACAAGAGCCAACAACCTGACATATTCCTTCAAGATGATCACAAGACTCGTTTATGCAATTGCTACATGACATATAACAGTTCAACCCGTATGATCCTGTGTAACATGCTACAAATAAAAGAGGACAGTGGACTTCACAGCGCGGATTTAATTTTGTTTTCAGTTATTTAGTACCAACTTAAACATTTTAAATAAATACATAATCAAACATCACTCTTTTTTTTTTTTTTTTTTTACGATAACAAATATTTTTTATTCAAACATTTCGTGATATATAAATACCTAAGTAGCCCAGGTCGTATACTTAGGGACCCCTGTACTTTTAACAGCCTCGCTTGACCAGGGAAAAAATCAAATGAGTTTAAACTTCCATAGTTTTACATACATATATTTAAATAACCAGTACAATTGTTTTTACCTGATACACATCATTATAATACATAATCATTATCGTATATCCGGTTCACTGACTACCATGTGTTGATTTATGATTGATAAAAATGAGAGTTATAATTTGAATTGGATACATCACTTTTATAGAGTAACTACAGTAAATATAAGCTTCATTCGGTAAGAATAGGAAAAACCCATTGATTAAATTCATCAATATCTTTCAGTTACAGTTATTGTATGAACAATCTATTATCTTTTTTTTTATATTTGTTTTTAATTCATAATCAACTTACTATTATTGCATCCTGGTCCACGCCATCCTAATTTACATACTCCCAATGGATCACAAGTTCCTGTGAAACGGTTACAATTGTCGGTAATGCAATTTGTACATTTTTGATGACAGTTCTTCCCAAATGTTCCTTTTTCACAGCCTAGATAATAATAAGAATAACTCAGTACGAAAAATATATATATCGATAGAAAACACACATAATTATCATAATATCACTACTTATAGCGTACTTCAATAGATAATATATTCTATAATAATTTCATTGCACTTACTGTGACTACAAGTGTTTGATTTCCATCCAGGATCACATAATTCTCTAGGACAATGACCATTTATGTTATCACATGTATTTCCATTCAAACAATGACATTGAAGCCTGCAATTCTCGCCATAGGTTCCAGCACTGCAGCCTGCATAAACAATTTAAGTTTTCTGTTAATGGACTCTTTTTTATATGTGTTGCTATGCATGCCCGCTTAAAATAATTTTATGTCCTATATTAGCTATATGAGTGGCGGATCACATCAGAATAAGAATGGTTCTATAGGGATACACTTTACATTCATATACTTTAAACAAGTATATACATATATACTTTTAAAAGGTGTATGTATACTTTTAAAAGGTGTATGTATACTTTTAAAAGGTGTATGTATACTTTTAACAAGTATCAGTATACTTATAAAAAGCATAGATATACATTTAACTAGTATCAGTGTACATATTAGAAGCATCAGTATACTTTTTAAAAGCATCGGTATACTTTTAACAAGTATCAGTATATTTATAAGAAGCATCGGTATACTTTTAACAAGTATCAGTATATTTATAAGAAACATCGGTATACTTTTAACAAGTATCTGTTTACTTCCATATAGCATCAGTATACTTTTAATTAGTATCAGTATATATCTAAATAGCATCGGTATACTTTTACAAAGTATCAGTATACTTATAAAAAAGGGTCGGTATACCTTTAACACATCGATGTTCTTTTAACAAGCATCTGATTTATTGTATTTATCACCAAAAGAAGCAATTTTCTCTACTTGTTCTCGTTTTGAAACGTAATTGTATTTCCATCGAATAACTTCATTTTATAGCTTTTCATTAAAAAAAATAGTATTTTAAATATAATAATTGGTATTAATTTGTTACTGATTGAGTTAGTTTGTTCATCTCTTCAACGTTTGTATTAAGTTTTGGACTTTCAAATATTTTGATCTCAGGCATCACTGAAGAGACATTCATTGTCGCAATTGGCATCTGGTGCAATAAACTTTGTAACGTTAATGTTAGTTCACATTTTTTTTTTTCTCTTTCATATTTGTTTCAGATGCAGCTTGCCCTTCGTTATACCAATTTCACGTTTTGTGTCCACTTTGGATATATTTTTTTTCGTCGATAAGTTATTCTTTTTACATAAAATATGCAGTAAATAAAGCCTGATCTTCCATACTTGTTTTTTTTTTTATTAATTATAAAGATAATCTTTGCGCTTTTTTTAATTCGAAGACGGCTTTAAGCACTGTATTACCTTAAGTCATGACATCTCATTATAAAAAAGTGCGACATGATAGATAGTATTTAATTACTGATGAACCTACTTTATGGTAAGTAGAGTAAACAGGTATGTTCACCATGAAATTAAACTAAATAATAAATATCAAACATACGGATTTCACACTTGGAACCTTTCCACCCAGCAGAACATCCACGTGTACATCTACCGTCGAACTGGTTACAATCTTTATATTTACAGGTTTTGCAAATATTCACACAGTTTAACCCATAAGTACTAAATGCACATCCTAAAATATAAATTTATTGAAAACAAAGATATTTTCTTCTGCAGGTTTAAATAATCACTGAGGATTAAGTAATCTTTTCAGTATGGAACGTTTATCTGGCACGACCTCCCGCACTTATCTAATGACGATTTCGATTTTCCTTTACTTGGGGTAGATAGATGGTTACTTGTCACCTTCAAGTTAAATGTTATTGTGTCAACAATCTATTATCTTTTGTTGATAATTTTTTTTAATTCACAATCAACTTACCATAATTGCATCCTGGCCCACGCCATCCTGATTTACATACACCCAATGGATCACAAGTTCCGTTGAAACGGTTACAATTATCAGTGATGCAATTTGTACATTTTTGATGACAGTTCTTCCCAAATGTTCCTTTATCACAGTCTAGATTATAATAAGAATACATGTTCAAACTAAACTCAGTATGAAACAAGTCATAATATAAATCGATAGAAAAACACATAATTATAATTATTATGATATCAAAATGAACTTCACTACATATAGCGTACTTTCAATAGATTTTTAGAATGTTTCTACGTTTGAATAATTTGAATAGATTTCATAATAATTGTATTATACTTACTTTGACTACAAGTGTTTGATTTCCATCCAGGATCACATAACTCTCTAGGACAATGACCATTTATGTTATCACACGTATTTCCATTCAAACAATGACACTGAAGCCTGCAATTCTCACCATAGGTTCCAACACTGCAGCCTGCATAAACAATTTAAGTTTTAAGTTAATGCACTCTTTTCCTCATATGTGTTGCTATACATGCCCGCTCAAAAGAATTTTATGTCCCAGGACAGATAATAAGCTGCATCGGATAGAAATCGGCCTTATGCAAGTACACGTATATGTACATGTATAAGACTTTGATCTATTTTGAAACATTCAAATACGAAATCAAAGATGAATTTTGATATGTTTTGTAGGGTTCTAATATCATCTCAATTTTCAAACAGTTAACGATTTTGCATAGAGATTTTGCAACCCGACATAAGTTAACAGGTGTATTAATATTCATTTGCATAAGGTCGATTTCTATCCGATGCAGCTCATATGTATATGAGTGGCGGATCATGTCAGAATTAGGCTGGTTCTATAGGGATACACTTTACATCCATATACTTTTAACAAGTATACATATACTTTTAAAATGTATCGGTATACTTTAAAAAGTATCAATATGCTTATAAAAAGCATAAATATACATTTAACTAGTATCAGTGTTTATATTAGATACATCGGTATACTTATAAAAAATATCAGTATACTTTTAAAAAAAACATCTGTATAATTTTAACAAGTATCAGTATATTTATAAGAAGCATCGATATACTTTTAACAAGTATCAGTATACTTTTAAATAGCATCGGTATACTTTAACCAAGTATCAGTTTACTTATAAAAAGCGTCGGTATACTTTTAACACATCGGTGTTCTTTTAACAAGCATCAGATTATTTGTATTTTTTTCCAAAAGTAGCAATTTTTTCTACTAGCTCTAGTTTTGAAATTAATTGTATTTCCATAGATTAACTTCATTTTATTGCTTTTCATTGAAAAAAAGTTGTTATTTTAAACATAATAATTTGTATGCATTTGTAACTGATTGAGTTAGTTTTTATCAGCTCTGCAACGTTTGTATTGTTTTATCAGCTCTGTAACGTTTGTATTAAGTTTTGGACTTTCAAATATTTTGACCTCAAGCATCACTGAAGAGATATTAATTGTCGCAATGAGCACCTGGTGCAGAAAACTTTGTAACATTAATGTTATTTCACAGAATTTTGTTTTTCTTTCATATTTGTTTCAGATGCAGCTTGCCCTTCGTTATACCAATTTCGAGTTTTGTGTCCACTTTGGATATATTTTTGTTCGTCGATAAGATATTCTTTTTACATAAATCATACAGTACATAAAGGGATAGTCTGATCTTTCATACTTGTTTTTTTTTTTTTTAATTCGAAAGATGAGAGGCGAAGGATACCAAAGGAACATTCAAACTCATAAGTCGAAAATAGGTTGACAACGCCATGGCTAAAAAGGAAAAGATAAACAGACAAACAACATTTCACAAAATGACATAGAAAACCAAAGACTGAGCAACACGAATCCCACCAAAAACTGGGAGTGATATCAGGTACTCCGGACGGGTAATCAGTCCTGCTTCACATGTGGCTCCTGTCGTGTTGCTCATGTAAGTACAAACTCGGTGATATGTCTAATTCCGTAGATCATATCCGGGGGAAGAGGAAAAGATTGTAGTTACGACAATTGGAGCATATCCGTCATCATCTGTGAAACAGATATTCCATAACAGTCAACCAACTCATAATGGCGTCCGTAAAATTTACGAAGAGATGATTTCAACTTCACCACTTGGAACTCTTGGTTTAATAGCTTCCTTGTGAGCAGCAACCCTCTATCAAGAAAATCATGATAGGAAACACAAGCCCTGGAATATCGTATCAACTGGGAGATAAATACTTAGTATGCAGGCGTTGCCAGAATGTTTCTACATAGAAATGGAAATTTCACAATTGGGAAGCTGAAATTATCTCTTTAGTCGTAAAGGTTTGTTTTCAATCGACCCTCATTGTCAATTTCTAGATACAAGTCAAGATATGTGGCAGACTGAACTGTATCTGTTGTATCCTTTATCTCAAGTTCGATGGGATAGATGCGTTCAACATAGTCACCAAATTTTGAAATATGTGGAGATAGAACATCTGTATCCATATACCGGAAAGTGAAGTTAAAGGATACTGCTAACTTCTTTTCTTTCTTCCCAAGAAGTTCCTGTATGAAGTCAGCCTCATATGAATATAGGAACAAGTCGGCAAGAAGAGGAGAACAGTCGGTCCCAAAGGGAATGCCGATTGATTGTTAAAAAACACGTTCTCCAAACATAACATTGTCAATCAAGAAATCAAGCATCTTGATAATGTCAGTTTCAGAGAATTATTTGTTTGAATCAGAGACTTAAGTCATGACATATTATTTATTTCATGGACAGTGCGGCATAATAGATGGTATTAAATTTCTGCTGAACGAACTGTGTGTTTGATTGTTATGGTATGCTGAGTAAACAGGTATGTTCATCATGAAATTAAACTGATTAATGAATATCAAACATACGGATTTCACACTTGGAACCTTTCCACCCAGCAGAACATCCATGAGTACATCTACCATTGAATTGGTTGCAATCATTATTTTTACAGGTATTGCAAATATTCACACAGTTTGACCCATAAGTACCAACTGCACATCCTAAAATATAAATTTATTGAAAACAAAAAAATGTTTGTCTGCAGGTTTCAGATAATCATTGAGGATTAAGTAATCTTTGCAGTATGGTAACTTGATCTGGGAAATCGAAACCACGACCTTCTACACTTATCTAATGACGATTTTGATTTTCCTTTACTTGGGGTAGATAGATGGATACTTTTTAACTTCAAGTTAAATGTTTTGATTTTGAAATACATTGTCGATTACACAATAGTGGCTTATTGCAGCTAGAGCCTCCCAGGAGTTTGAATTATTCACCGTGTCAAAATATGTAACATTAAAACTCTAGCAACAGTGACAGCCATCTTTTACACTTAAAGCAGATCAGTTGTATTCCGCCATCTTAGATTTTAAAATAGCAGTAAACAATAGATCTCAATCGTAAACGAAATGTGCAAATATTTTCATGTTGTAACTCTTTTAATCAAAAAGAATATAATTATGTTATCATTTTTATGCCTGTTTTTATAAACACAGAATATTTTTTGATTCAAATTTTTTTCAGCTATGCCATATAAGGGGAGATTGTTCAGATAATGTAACTTATTATTAAGGAATCTGTTATGACTTTACTATTTTTTTGTGGCAAGAAAACCAGTCCCCTGACTTTTTTATTTTCTGAAAGAAGATCATTATAAAGAAACTAAGGTTTCAACTACCTCAGGCAAATTTGACCTTAAATTGATTTGGCTATTGTTTATGTCCTTTTTGGTCATATATCTCTTCAACTGTTTCGGTTCATATACATCTTTGGCTTGTGATTTTTTTCCTCTTTCTATCAATTACAGTTTTCAAGATAATATACACAAATGACACATAGCAAACTGGGATTTTTGTATAAGGATAATAATTTCTTAACGGAGTTAATCGACAATTCGAATATGAATGGTTTATTTCTATATCTTGTTTCGTTTTTCAGTTTTGTTGTTTCAAGATCTTCATCTTAAACAGACTCTTAAAGGTAGTAGCCAAAAAAAAAAACGTTAAAAGAAACGTAACATATTGTTATTGGAGGGCAATATTTCTTATAAGGAGTCAAGAAACAATTTCAGTAATTTCACTCATTTGTAGGGGATTTTATTTTGCTCATCATTTGTGTTGTAGAGATGTCTGACTATTTAAGATTCCAAAAATTGGTTAAAATAATAAAATGATAAAATTACAAGGCTGAAATTGTTACTCAGTTCCTTATTGAAGTAGATTCCCTTTAATGAAAACTATAATAGACAGTTTATCAGTAGGAGTACATTTACAAAAACATCAAATTGTGGAAATCGTAAGTTAACTCCTTATAGGAGTTATTACCCTTAAATGACGATTTTAACCATTTTTTTTTTTTCGTTTTTCTTTTTAACTTGGAAAACTATAATAGATAGATAAAAACTGTAACAGCAAAAATGATCATCAAGAAAAAATTTGTAAAAGGTCAGCTAACATGTAAATGAATTTGTTAGTTGTCTTCTTGAAAGAGTAATGGCATTTAAAGATGATTTTGACACTTTTTTGTGTTTTGGGCAACTCAAACTTTAGAAGATATAAAGAAATAGTAAACAGAAGATACATATCAGCTATACAGGTTCGCCAAAAAAGAGATTTTAGTCATTAATAATACAGTGTTATTAAATGGGTGTTTTCATGTTAATCCTGTATATTATGTTCGGCCATGCCAATACAGCTAATCTCGACCCAATACGACCATTCGAGGACATAATACAGGATTAATATGAAAAAACTTATTTTATAACACCTTTATTAACCAATGACTTCAAATAACCACTAAAAACTGATTGAGGATAAACACGACTGTAGGAAGACTCATACAGGATCAAAATGAACTATTTCGGTTAATTATCATTTTATTGCAAGGAATGTGAATAACCCTAAAAATAATAATGTGCGATGAATTACCCTTTTATTCACCGGTAAAAAACAACCCTTTGAGCCTCTCGATTTTTACACGAGTTATCTCCCATCAAAATGACGTCACTGACGTATATAAACAAAATGGCGTGACAAAGAAACAAGTTCAAAGGATGGCTTTCACAAACGGCCCTTTTCAGGGCCAGCAATACTTTACACTTTAATACTTTCTTGTACAAATGAGGCATTTTAAGTCACAAAATAATTCTCTGACGAAAGTGTTTTGACAAATTATTTGTTACTACAGTAAGACTAGTACATTCCTCAAGAGCTTCTTTAACATGTATTTTTAATGGTTTGAAGGACTCGTTGGTATATTTAAACAAATGTGGCCTGTTCGAAGCGGTGCATATCCAAGATTGTCAACCGTACATATTTCTCTCACTCCGGACTCCGCCCTTAGAGAAATAATCTTTTATTGTTGACAATTCTGGATATTTACACTTGTTACTGTTCATAATTCATAAATGCATATAGTCAAAGAAAAAAAAATCCTATTACATATGAAAAATATCAAACATGTTGAATTCTTATTTTGTAAAATATTTCGCGTAATACAAATCCATTTACAAACATCTTTTTGAACCAAACACCGGAAGTTCAAATCCTGTATTAAGACCAGTAAAAATTCTGTATTAACCGGCTTTTCTGTATTAGACCTGTATTAATGACCAGCTCTCAGACACATGGAATCGTAATAAATGGACAATTACTAATGTATTTTAAGTCATTGGTTTATAATATTCCAGTCTAAAATGTTTGAGAGTGTCTGTTGATGCATATGCACATAGACCTACTGTAGATTAGCGATATAGGATCTTTAGAGCCTCTAGTTTTGTTTAAAAATCTTTAAATATCTGTATCAATGTAGTCTTCAAGATGAAAGCAAAAAAATCGAAATAACTTATCCCATCACTGATTAATCTTGTATACTTGTATAGACGAAACGCGCATCTGGTACACAAAAATTGGGCGTTGTATTTTGATGAGTTTTAACACAGAAAAGCAACATTCTAAGAGTCAAGCGGCAAGTTTTTGTTATTTCATAATTTGTAGATCCTCTTTAGCTCTTCGTTTTTGCCGTTGACATTTGTTGACCTATTTTCATTAAAAATTGCTAAAACATTCAATGAGGTGAATATCCATTGTCAATAAGGGCAATAACTCTTATTAGAAGTCAAATAAGGCCTTTGGTAATGTTAACGCAATTAAACATTTTATCGCGTTTATGATGTTTGTTTCGCAGTTCGTCTGTATCTTCTATCAGTTTCAGGACAATATCCAAAATCTACATCTAAAATTAATTTATATAAAAAAAAAAGGGAATAAATTGTCGTTTCAGTGTAGTAATTCATAAATGTAGTAATACGACCATATGGTTTTTTAACTTATTCTTAGAAATTATCTCGTGCTGTTTTACTGTTTATCTCTATCTATTATAGTTATCAAATTGATACATGTAGCTAAAATCATTCACAATTGATATAAATGGTCATTAGAGGACAATAGACTGTTATGATTAGTCCATGAGTGATTTTTGTCATGTTAAGGTAGATAGGGTGTCTTCCTCCATCTTGGATTTTGAACTACCAGAAAACAATCGGTCTAGATCTTTAATAAAAGGTGCAAATTTTGAGAGTAGTAGGTAATTCATGTGTAAGAATTTTAATTTCTATATAGAAAATGACATATTTCATCATATTTATGGTTGTATTTTACAAAAAAAAACAGAATACTTTTGTTTGATTCTATTTTTTCCAACTTTGCCACATAAGGGGAGGCAACTCAAATGTAAGGGCAGATAATTCAGATAAAGTTACTTTTACAATAGAATGTGTTAGGAATTTACCTATTTTATTATGTAGCAAGAAAACGGGTCCCGTGACCCCATTTTTTCTTTTTCTCTATCTGAAAGCATACTATAAGAGCTATCTTCTCATATTTTATCTTAAAATTCTATGGTGTAGTTTTCGTTTTATGGCAGAAAATTGGGTTTTCCATGCATAATCTATACAAAATCTGTCAATTTTGCACAACCTTTAGCGTGAAAATAAGCCCCGTGAACCATTCTTTTTATTATTTTTTTTTAAAAAGCATGATATAAACTACATTTTGACAAATTATTAAAAAATTCTATGGATTATAATTAAGACACCCCATCTACCTTAACATATTTGGAAATGATGCTCAGTTGTGTTGTGTACATTTTCTCTCTATCTCTAATAGTTTTCAAGATAATAACTAAAATTGAAAAAGGTAAAAATAATTATTTGAGGACAGCAACTCCTAAAGGAGTCGAACGAAGAGTTTTGGAACGATAACAAAAAAGATGTATCATGAAGTACTTATGATTTTATTGATGTGAAATACTCTCTTTCGGTTTATAATTTCCGAAACGAAAGGGAAAAAAATGGTTGACATTATGATTCTATATTTAGCCAAACGGCTATGCTCTTTGCTTGGTGGGCTAACACAATATGATTAATAAACAAGGCAGACTAAAACTGAGTATTATGTGGGTAGGTGTTGTCTATATTGGACCGAGGATTTTTTTTCTAATTTTAGACCGCAATTGACGACGTAATGATACTAGCCCACACGGGCTTCATTCCACGGTGAGCTTAAATTAGAACTTAATACGGATTAAACTAAATAGTTTACTAATGAACACTTTATGCTAGGTTAGTTGTTGTTCTCTATTTGAGTTTTAACATACGCTGATCATGCATATAGGACAAAAAAATGATAACCGCTAATTCCGGAACATTTGTATCATTCTGAGTTTTTATGCCGAATCAAGTCGTCGAATTTAACTGTTGAGTTGTAGTTTATGTAGTTTTATGTCTTCTTTATAACGAATTGTATTGTTAGTTTATCGACGACTCAGTCTGTTGATCTACGTTGAAATGAAGTTACATAGGATAAAAGTCAGTTGATTGAGGAGGCAAATAGTCTGTTTAAAGTATTTTTTCACTCAATACATGATTTTAACAATAATTCAAAAAGTGAGAGAAGATACCAATGGGCATTTAAAATCATAAGTCCCAAATAACAGACAA